TAAATTTTCTATTTAAACTATATTAAGATTATTAAACTATTTTAGAATTATGCAGCTTTGGATAGTATACCATAAAATATACATTTAAAAATAAAACAATTAATTAGATGTGTATGTGTTGCAGAAGCCTTATACACTTATGAAACATATAAAATAATTCACCGGCTTAACGTTCAACAAACTCATTTTTCTATGTGTTCATAGAATTTTTAACTCCCAATTTTCTTGGTACGGCTGAAGTTTGCTCGTAAAGCATAATGTAACTTCTCAGCTTTGAGTGTTCATACTGAAGTAAACACAATTCCATTTTCTGTGGTGAAAAGTTTATATTGTACTTTACATACAGTTTTTTACCATTGTGTATTTCTGTGCCATATTACGCTATTTTATTAGAAGACTATTTAATTCACAGCGTTGTTTGTGCAAAAAGAAAAAAACCCAAGTTCAAAACCATTTCTGAAGTTAACTGCAGTAATTACGTGACTAGTCTAAAGTTTGAACAAATTATTTAATTTCAATATGGTAAGCCTACGTAAGAATCATGTAAAATACCAAATTGAAATCATCAATGAAGTGAATACTATCAGATTTTCTTGATTTTATAATGTTACATCCAATAAATTAAATGACTTTAACTCTACAAATCTTATTTCCCTACAATTACCTAACAAATCGGGCTTTCTTATACTGATAATATCACGTAAAGCAGCTAATTGCTGCATTTACTTACTTTTGCCGCACTCCCTTTTCCGCACTCATTTATGCCACACTCCAGTATTTCAACCAAACTATATAAAACAGTATGCAATTAGGCCTAGGCACATAATATGTATAAGCTTTAAAAACAGTTGGCAACACTTAAAGACACTATGACTACTATCTGCTGAGTGTTTCCCATTTCAATCAAAGCTTGGATTTAACCTAACCTAAAATGTGTTGTTTGGTGTATGAAAGACTAATTATTCTTACGCTTTATTGTAACTGTAGAAAAAATATAGAATAATGTTTAACACACTAGTTACACATATAACTATTTAACTACCGGTCAAGTAATAAAGCTGTAACTGTAAGTTGTATCATGTTATGTTGTTGAGAAGATATTAAGGTGGTTAAAAAAAGACTTTTTCACGGAATATAATTAAACTTTTGGTACAATTGTGAAACAAGGAAAGACAAGCAAACGAAAAGTGTTCATCAGTGAAATTGTGGTTTTGAGTTCCTGTTAATATATTTTCTTTTATGAAAATCTTGACAGAATCCAGACTAATATTTACATTCATTTTAATTAAGTGATAAGGAAAAAGGGTATTTTTTTAGTTCTTACGTGTAATCCTTTTGTTTGTAGGTTTTTGTCTTTCAAATCTGTTGTATTTAATTGTTTTTGTTTACATTTTAGTTTAAAACTATAATACATCTTTTAGAACAAATTTCTCTTGTTTATTTAATCCAAGAGTGAAATAATCCTCATTTATTTATTTCTAAAAACCTCACCAAGATTGAGTTGTGATAAATTCGTAGGACTAATAATAACATTTTAATTTATTATCATTACAAATTAAATAAACAAATATTTACGCACACAGGTTATGAATAGAGTTGCTATTAGTTAGTTTTGATATGTTTAATAAATTATTAGTATACAGCATTTCACAGTAATGTACCAAACAAATTTATTTAGAGTATTAAGTTAAAAGTATATTTATTTGTATCTGGAATGAAAAAACTTCCTTTTTAATTTCTACAAATGATCGAAGTATTAGTGGTTAGAGCATGGGACTCCGGTTCCTAGGGTCTCGGGTTCAAATCCCGCCAAATCCCCAATTTTTTTTTATCCAAGTGATTATACCGTAACCCCTAGTTCTAGCCTGAAGTAATGTGAAAAACAATCCCGGGCTCGTTCCTAGCGTCAAAGGACAAAAAAAAAAAACTGAACGAAGTTTGACAATGCTTGTTGCAATAATATTCTCGACTGCAGCGTTGCAACAACCAGCGTTTCGTAAATAAATTTGTGGTACACTTTCCCCAGTAATTTTTGGTTGTTAAAAGCACTTACAATGATGTAAACAATAATTTGTTTACCACAGTGAGACTTTCTTTACTACGCATTGTTTTTAAGAAGATTAAAATTTTTAGTTTTACTTTAGTGTTTGTTGATGCTAAGTGTACATCGTTTGAGGACATTTTCCAACACGTTTTGTAAAAATAGAAACATTTTTTACAAATTTTCCAGTTTAGATTTCAAACTCCAGAACTTTGTGAAAACCTATGTACAGTATCTGTTGTTACCAAATTAACATTATGTACCGAAACGATGAAAATATAATTAAATAGTTGGGGTATTCATCGAAATGCTTTGTTCAACTTTAAATTTGTTTCCTATAAAAATAACTTAAAGCTAAAATCAATCCATCATCGATACTAGAATGTTGTTTGGGAAATAAATACACAAATCCGAAATCCTCAATTCAAAATGTATTTTAAGGTTAAAATAAACAATTAATCCACAAAACACAAAATGGCTATGTCAATTTGTAAATACATTCACGCTAATAAGTAGAGAAGGTTTTAGACATGACGACGCGTTTACACTTGAACTCATAACATTTACACTTCACATAACTAACTCGCTTGGTAAATAATATCACAGTTGAAAGCTCGTTTCAGAAATTGTATTTGGGCGAAAGATTATTTTTAGCTTTTGATTACCTAAGCAGATCTAAAGTAGTTACATTCTTTACGTGAACATTTAGTGATTTCAGTTTTAAGTTAGTTTTTCTGTACCAATTCTCATTACTGTAATTTTAATTTATTTTATCAATGCATGGTTTTAATTTTTGTGAATTTTTTAAAGAGGATCGCATGTCTAATAAACCAGTTTATCTTTTATTTCTACTAGGTTAGTTATAGCATGAGTTGGGCTCCGCACCACTCACCTATGGTATTACCATAAAGATAAAAGTATATTAGTGATTGGTCGGATTCGAATATCTGCTTTCAAGCCAGAAGCCCCAGGTTATAACAATCAACATTTTCCGTGCCCCTGTTAGGGCAGTGATTAGAATATACCCCTTTTGATCAGGTTTAGGCAGGTTAGGTTAGGTTAGGTTAGGTTAGGTCTCCTTGTCAGTTTGTGATATAATCTTCAAGGTATTATGAAAGCTAAAAGCTATTGGTAAAGCAGTGGGATGAACAAGAAATAGGTCTTGCGTTATATACTAAAGCAGCCTCATCTTCAAAGTACTTAAAGAAACTTTTTTGTGTCGTTTTTAAAACCAACCCTACTTTATTGTTACCCATCCAATGCTTTATAGTCAAATTTGTACACATTTCACATAATTTCCATTCAAATTCAAACAAAAATCATACTAAATAGTATTTCTCACCTATTTCCAAGGAGTGAAATAAAAATGAATGTTTAAAGTGTTATAAATTAACTAGCTGACCCGGCGAACTTCGTATCGCCTAAGCTATAGGTTTCCCCTAAGACAGACCAATGGAAAGAAAGTACCGTTACGTTTAATTTTCAAGATGATCTCGTTCGCATCGCTCAATCACGTCCTGGTTGAAGTTCGTTCGCTACGCTCACTCACCTTTGGGTTGGAGCTCGTTCGCTACGCTCACTCACCTTTAGGTTGGAGCTCGTTCGCTGCGCTCACTTGCCTTCAGGTTAGCTCGTTCGCTACGCTAACTCGCCTCCAGGTTGAAGTTCGTTCGCTACGCTCACTCACCTTTTGGTTGCAAATTAGCTGTTGTCATAAATGTAAAAGAAATAATAGTGCTGCACCCTGTTGGTAATCCTTGTAACTTTAATGCTATTGAACATCATAGAACAGAACCAACTTGTTTAATTGAAACAGCTGAGATTCATTAATTCCATTTCTCATAAGGTTAACATGGGAAACTCCAGAGCCACTGGGGCGGAGCCCTTTTAAGAATTTCGAAACGGGAAATAGTTTACGTCCGATTCGCATACCTACAGAATTTACACACCAAATTTCATAACGATCGGTGAAGTCGTTCCGGAGGAGTTTGCAGACAAACACTGTGACACGAGAATTTTATATATTAGATTACCGACAAGAATGTCTCTTCATGTTTTGCTTAGCTGAATATTAGTTGCAAGTGTCGGAGCACGGGTGTCATACTATATTTATAAACTATATTTATAAACAGTACTATTATTTATAAACTGAATAAACAATGAATCACACCATGCGTTCCCTCGTCTCCTGCATATGCAATTCCTTCTGGATTTAAGATTTTTTTCTTTTGCTGGTCATAACATACATAGGTTTTTATTTGCATAATCTTTGTTTGGTATTTTGGTGTCTTGATAAATAAGTTCAATTCATTAATACTTTTGCAAGACAGTTATGTGGTAGTTGTTTTGATAACATTCTGAATAATTTGGCTAGAAAATCGTTAGGTAAAAGGTTTTCAGGTAATATGAAAATATAAAGTGTGAATGTATTGGACTAACCATCAGTATTGAAATTAAGAACAGCTGTGATAACTTTAAACCCACTGTTAAGCTTGAGGTGGGATGATTAAACTTTTTGCCGATTTGGAAGTATTTAGTTGAAGCTAAGGCTTTCAAAGGTTTGGTTGCTTTCTTGTCAACTAACCAAATATTAATTATCAGTAAAGTGCAAAACAAATAAATTTCACATATTTTTCAAAAGGATTTTAGGATTTCAAAAGTATGTAAACAGCTTCTTTGGCAATGCCTTGGATTGAAACTTAAGTTATATTTTTATTCGCACTAATTTAAATTTCCAAAAATGTTATCTAGCTTGTGATTTCTTATTCTAACATTTTATGGAACCAGGATTAGTATGAGGACAAGTAAAAATGCAAATAAATGATCATTTTATTCACTAAGCGGACACAATAGTTTCTATACAATAATACATAGGTTATTTATTTACAGGTTATTACAAATTGAGCATTTTATTATTTACATAATATGAACTTGTCAATCTACAAAGATAAGTGAAGATCACTATGTCACGATCGCAATATCCTTGTAAGACATATCAGACTGAATATTGCTGTGAGGTTCCATGTAGTCCTTAAACTGCTTCCTGGAACAGAATAAAATGGCTTAATAACAATGTTACATTGTATAGCAAATGTATATAATATTGTTGTGGCTCAAGGATTTTAAGGTTGACTATTTCACCTTATTTTCTCCAAGCTAACTCCCACAGCTGAAATATTTTTTGTTTCTATTTTCTTTTTTCTTTCTGCATGTTTTTGACGCTTAATTAAATCATTTGGATTGATTTTTTCCTTTAAAAAAATAAAAATTTCTCGGTGACATGTTTCTTACTTTTAGATATTTTTTGATAATTTTTGGGTTTGAATTTTCTATGAGTGGGTATTTTCAAGAAGATGTTTTGCTACGTTTAATCTTTCTAGGTTTTTCTCTTGCCGATATGTGGTTATTGTACCATAGATATAACCATTAAATAATTTAAGTTATTTCACGGTGACATGTTTCTTACTTTTAGATATTTTTTGATAATTTTTGGGTTTGAATTTTCTATGAGTGGGTATTTTCAAGAAGATGTTTTGCTACGTTTAATCTTTCTAGGTTTTTCTCTTGCCGATATGTGGTTATTGTACCATAGATATAACCATTGACTATACACAGAATATGATACAGATATGACATACTCCTTTAGTAGATTTCTCATCCGTATAGATAAATAAATAAATAAATAAATAAAAAGGCCTTTATTTACAAGCGAGTTTCATATACATGATTTTCAAACTTACTCAAGTCAAATTAAAACTAAACTAATTAAAACTAAACTAACCTAATATATACAGAAATTTAATATACAAAAAAACTACAAAGAAAAAACATTTACAATTTACATTTGTTTTTTTGCATTGCGGCCCTGAATGAGCCATACGATTTGGAGCTCTTTATGTCCTGAGGGAGGCCATTATACAACTGCGGGCCAAAATAAGAGAATGACTTTCTTCCAACCTCAAGCCTCACCTTAGGAAAGTGAAGCCTGCGGTCGGAACGAGTACCACGCAGGCAGATCTCCCCCCTGTACTTAAGCCTCTCGCTGAGGCACTGAGGCTCTCCCAGCGTGAGCACTTTGTGGACCAGGCAGCAGGTCAGCCTCCTGCATATTTCATCCATTGGGATGAGCTTATTAGGTCGACATCTACGCCAAAATATCTACGAGTCAACCGGTATCTTATCTATCTGTCGATATACCATAAACCTCAAAATGCACCGAAACCTCATCAATGGCATAACCTACCCCTGCTGAGCACCATGGACAGCTTCTGATTGGTCAGGTCGACGTGGAGGCGGGAAGTGTAGACTCTCTCCCAGGGCGGGAGCTGATCCAGGGTGACCCTGCAGCGGAACTCCAGGGCGAGGTGAGGGCCCTGGAAATGGCGTCGCTCTGGATAGAACGTCAGGCTGAGAGATTGGGAGAAGAGTCCGTGACTCACCCTTACTGGGTATTCCGATAGGTACGCTGGGTCTGCCTGGAGAACAAACGTGTGGATAAGAACAGGTTTAACATTCATGTCGACGATGGCCTGATATAGCACGGGGTTTCGTCCCCGAGGTCTCAGGTTCAAATCTCACTAATCACCAACTTAGGTATGTGACGATACCCGATTCTTCTAGGGCTTACCTGAAGTGATGTGTAAATGGTTCTGTGCTCATAGGATGTGAAGGTTGACATTAAACACGTTAAATACTTTGCATTGTGAATTGAAAGATATTCCATGTGTGGAAATGAACCTTTAAATCAAACTTGGTCGTAGGTCGGTAGAAGGTGCTGGACTAATAATCCAGACCCTGCTGGTTTGAGCTGCCTACTACATTTAAACACTTCGGTGCCACTAGCTCACCAATGTGGCTGATTGTAACGTCACTGTCCTTCTTTGAACCTAATGGCAATAACACTTGTATCGTTGGCACTTGCCAAGGGTGTGTGTGTTGAAAGATCTATGCAAGTCTGTCGATTATTCTAGGACCCAATCTTATGCTCAAGTTTTAATAAAATGTACCCCATTTAAGGAGGCCAACTCACCTTCGCCCCATTAATGTACCAGGACAGTTTTGGAGCCGGGTGTGACCAAGCTGATGTACAAGTCGCGTTGATGTAGTCTCCTAGACGATACCACTTCCTGACTCCAATGATCTCTGGTTCGGATGTTGGCAGCACTGAAATACAAATAATATTGAATATAGCCTGCATTCCACATGTATCAAATAAAGACCTTTTTCCATGAAATACCGGATACATAAAAAAATTTCAAAGATTAGGAAACAGAAAATGTTGAAAAATGTGCATTTTAACCATTTTTAACTCTGTAACTATGCCCTTTAGCAAGATTATGAAGATGATCATTCTTGTAAAAAAAAGTTAAATGACGTATTTGGCGCTAAATCTCATAGTTTACGAATTATTTCATGAACACCCAAAAAGACTGAACATTATCAATTTGTACCCCCCCCCCCTCTTTCACCCTAATCCGACGCTCAAAATGGTGTAACTTTTAACTGAACAACTGAAGGACTGTACTGAACAACTTCAAGTCTAAAGTAAGCTTTCACTTTGCATGTTGAGGTTAGGCCGTTTCTTGACTGTTTGCTCCATACTAGAAGCAACTTTACCTCGCACGTTTTCGATGGAACTAACCCAAAAACTTTTCCCACCAAAAGAACAACTAATCTACCAGCTGATTGTAGAAACCTACTTACCCATAACCGTGAGATTGTTGGTGGCGAAGACAGTTTTGAAGTGGGGTGCTTCAGTGGACACCTCACATCTGTAGACGCCGCTGCTGTTGAATGTGAGAGCTGTCAGGGTCACACTGCTCTTATCACTGAGGGACTCCTGATAAGGGACAGAGAGTAAAATAGAATAGCTCAGTTATTATGGTATTATAAAAAATTAGAATATCTCATAACAATGAGGATCAGCTGATAATTAACCATATGCTATTAATTCCTTGAAAGCAATATATAATTATCTTCAATTTATAATGTTTCCCTCATCTTATGATTATGGATATCCAAGATATATTTTTTAAACATATCTTTGAGAGACACGCACACAGTAACGATAAAGGATTTGAACATATTGTGATCCAATTATTTGAGATTCATGTATCAATAACAGCTATTTCCCTCCATTTCAAATAGAACATTTTCCCGAAAACGTGTTCTGAGGAACAGATAATATTTTGTTACTTCAAACAAGTGAAAATAATAATATTTTGTTAACTGAAATTTTGTTTTAATTTAATGAATATTTTACAAACATTGGAAATCTGTTTCGTGAAAACAATTATGGGTTCTTAATTAAACGTATAACAGTGTACTTAATATTTAAACACAGGTCCATGAATGAAATTTGTATAAAATAATGTTTGAGATTTTGGTTTATTTTAAACGCATTAAAAACTCATATCATATTCCTGCTCGATACTCAACTTGTATAGCAATCAACATTCAATGGCATTAATTAATTTGACATAACTTGAGACGTAGATGTAACTTGTGATGTGCAATCAATTTGTGATCAGCAGTCAAGCACGATCAGCTGATGTCATTGTTGTCATTAATGTAACAGCTGACGACAGTGGCGTCATGCCATCTGATGACATCTGAGACATCTGTTTTCTACAGCACTATCTCTAGATCACGACCGAAAGATGAGCAAACTATGATTGTACAAACCTGCAATATAGTGACTCGTTTTTTGAACTAACTTTGGAGATTTTAAGCTTATGGGTTATTTATGGGATTGTTTAGGACTAATACGGTTAGGATTCAGATCCTGGGACGTCATGAAAAGTTTATTTTAATGGCTGTGATAGAAAATGTTCGCAATAATCATCATAATAACCCATGGTGGTTATATTATCAACCACATGAAGTAACTTTGTTTACAATCTCAACTCGTTTTCAACTTGAAATTTGTGTAGTTCTGGGATTGTCTTTAAATAATATTTAATTGAATACATTTTTTTATGTACAAATGTAAAGAGTTAATTTTACTATCAAAATTGTTGTCATTCACATTTTAGTTCTAGAATTTTCTTAAAAGTAAACTATTAAACAAAATCCGTAAATTGCTGAACTCCTTAAATTTATTTTATTTTCTAAACGTACCTATTGTAAATTCATCAGTCAAATTTTTGCTCTCTTTAAAAAGGACTTAAGACATTGTAAAAGCTATTTCGTCCATCTTCTTTTGATCAAATTATTGTTTCCTATCATTTCTTTATTGTAGTCGTCGTAAGTCTTATCTTATGTTAGAATAATAAACCATATTAGTACCACGGTTTAAGGGATAGTCCTTAATAAAGTATTACATTGATATGTGTTATAATTACAAAAAACCTAAAATGTCACTCCAATTAGTACGATTGTGTGTCATTATAATTATTATACTAATTGCAGTGCCATTTTCGGTTCAAAACTTCAAATTCATTAAATGCCGATATTTAGATGCAAAATAACTACTAATGGATTAGTTAAATGGTGTCCAGTATTGCACCAACCTCATTGGATGAAACGGATTGCCTTGTGAATGGAAAACATTTTACATTACTGCAATCATTTTACTTTAAATACTTAAAATATTATGACTAAAACATTGTTAAAATTATATTTACGATCTTACATGATGGAGTATATTATAGTGAATGGATCGTTTACATGATGGACATATACTAAAATTTTACATAAAAACCTTACTTACAGAGTTTAAAAAATAAATATTACAACTTCGCAAACACTTTTGTTATGAAATGAAAGAAAGCCAATAAAACGAGTTGAGTTGTTCATGAAATACAATCGTGCAGCAAGATTGTTTTGTTGCTTGTTTGATTGACAAATACGAAGCACTGTTTGTTTAGGTGGACTATTTATGTTGTTTCAACTCCCATTAGGGCTAGTAGTATGCAGTATTGGGCAAGCAATTAGTATTGTGACAACTAAACCAGAGTGCTTTATGTTCTGAAATAATATTTTTAGGCTTTATCTTAATATAATTTCAAACAATAATTAATCTATTTTTTGTAGGTTCTGTTGCAATTTATATCGTTAAATATTTAATAAATATTTAAATAAATAGTTTACTGTATTTATTAAATATTTAAAATCTTATTTTTAATATTTAAAATATTTAAATATTTTTTAAATCTATCTTTAAATATTAAATATTTAAAATAAAATTTTATTCATAAAATGTTATTTCATTTTATGAAATATTTTAATATCAAAAATATTTAACTTCAAAACATAAAAGTTTTAATAAACTCCATTTCAAGTTTAATGGATATAAAACGAAAGTTCCACTTTTATTTTAACACCGCGTGTTAAACTTTACACTCTCTAGCCTATTAAAATCAATGTTTTGAAGCTTTAGAGTTTTTAAGCTGATAGCCTAGTTAGAACTTGTATCGAGTATTTTCTGTCTTTGTAAATAAGTTAGTGTAGGTAATATGACATTTTAAGAACTTGAGCATAACAGTTGTTTTTTACTTCAATACGATTTTACAACCTGCGGCGCAAAAGTTTAATGAATAAATTTATGTTTTGATATGGGTTATCTAATGATTCTTAACTAATTCGAGAACTGCACAAATAATATTTTCGACGCAACCAATGACAGTCTACAATTTTAACACAACTACTTGTCTGACCAAAAATGAGGTAACTTTTTATAACAGTTTTTTTTTAAGTTTGCTGATAGAATATAAATATAAATAATATTTATTAAAGGGTTTACTGCTCTTACTTTCAAATCAACTAGTTCTGTAAATTTAAACAAGAAAAAAACACTTTCATAACCTAAAATATCCAAACTTAACATTAAATTGTAATATTAAACAATTATCAACGTTGATTAAGTATATTAAATATAATTTTAAGGCTATTGTGGACATTTTTCCAAAGCAAAAAACACAATAACTGTTTCAACAACAAAAACGTGAAATATTAGTTCCCTTCCGTATCCTCAATGCTAAATATTCTTAAATTAGATCCTCATGCAACAATGCATGCCATCAAACTTATTTGACGATAACCAATGAATAAGCTTAACTTTTTAAATGAAGTAAATTAAGGTTAATGTTAATTCTGTATCAAACAATGACAAATTAACTTACATCCAGCACGATGCCGGACCTAGGGAAGATCTGCGTCTGGGGCGAGTTCCCCGGCATGAACCTGTAGAACTCAAAGTCATCCTTGTACCACTTGACCGAGTATAGCTTCTCCCCGTCAGTGTCGAACCGACAACACAGGGTTATGTCCTCGTGGATGTCCACCACTGGGGGTACCACCACCTCGGTCAGCCGCAGGCTGGCCACCACTGCAAAGTAAATTGTTTTTATTTAAAAGTTCGGAAATGTTACATAGTTATACATCTAATATGTGTACATTTAATTTCATTTGTTTTTTTCATTGATGTATGCAAAGTCCTTGACCTCCTTAAGTTTAAAGTAATTTACACTACTTTCAAGGTGTAATCCAAGGAATCTTTTTTACAGATTAAAATTTAAAAAGAAATTTTCATTTTTATGTGTTTAGCTATTCACCCAATAATAAATTGACACACTTATCAAACTATACATCAATATGTTTATTCATTTATTTGGTTATTCATCTATCCATAGCATCTGTATTTAGCCTTTGATTCGTCGATTCACTTGTCAATGTATCCTTTATTCGTTTATACATAGTTTGATTTGTTTACCCACCCATCATCAATCCACTTATTAATACGTCTTTTCATCCATTTTATTGTTACTGTCTACCAACCTATTTATAAATAACTTATACCCATTCATGAACCATCGATACATTTAGTAATAAAACAATTCATCTGTTTGCCTATTTATTTAATCGTGAATATAATCATCCATTTATAAATACGGCTATCCATAAAGTCCTTCGATGTATTAATTAATTCATCCATCAAATCCACATGTGTATTAATTTAGCCACCAAAAAACCTTACTAAAATATGTTTACGATTCAGAGTGTACAATTAAACGGTATCAATATGAAAGGAATCTGTTATTTTATAGGACTCAAAAAGGAGAGGCATTCCTCCTGAATAAAATTTCAATACAGTTTCGATAGTAAATGACACAAATTAGAAGCATGTTTATCTTCGTTAAATTTTTAAAATACTCCTCCATAGCATGTCTGTAGTCACGTTTAAATGTCTAAAACATCCACTTGAATAAACCTTCACCACAGAGGAAGTACTAAACTACAATGACTGACGTTTAAAGCCAAGACTTTCCCGACTCTGACGTATATCCTACGTAGACATTTCTAAACGATTTTACGTTCAGATAAAAAGGTAAACGTTATGTAAGCTTGTTATTTTGTGTTTTTATGTAAGAGAGTCGTTAAAAACTCAAAGAAACATGCGTGAACATAATTAACAAACAAATAAACTTTCGATTTTAGTACTTTTGTTAGATTGTTGGATTCCATAAAAGTTTTAAACGAAAATACGATTTTGGCAAGAGGATTACCGTTGTTTGAATTAAAAGCTGGAAGTTTCAAGGCATTTAAATCAGAGAATTCGCCAAGTTTCATTTACTTTGACGGTGCTTGAATTATTCCCGTTTAGTTACAATGATACATTTGCAGGTAAACTAGTTATTCAATTTGTAATTTGCATGATTTCTTTAATAAAAACTGCTCATTATAATTATGTACTCTTAAAACAATTGTAAAATAATATATAATCCGTGATTTGTAGATTAACCTGTCTATTAAATCAAGTGTACTATCGGTGAAGTAAAATAAAAACCCCAAAAATACACAAGATATTTGGTTACTTACGTATCAGCAGGACCACACCCTTTTTGGGTTAGGTTAGGCTAGGTTAGGTTATGTTAGGTTAGGATAGGTTTGGTTAGGATAGGTTAGGTTAGGTTAGGATAGGTTATGTTAGGTTAGGTTAGGTTAGGCTAGGTTAGGTTAGGTTAGGTTAAGTTAGGCTAGGTTAGGTTAGGTTAAGCTAGGCTAGGTTAGGTTAGGTATTCATAACGACCACACAACTAACCTAACCTAACCGCCGCAGCGCGCTGTTAAGGGTGTGGTCTGGCTAATACGTAAGTACCAATGGTTTTTGTAAAATTAGGAATCCGTATTTAACCCCGATAACCTGTATTTTAAATTCTGTTTTAGTATTTCAGAGCTCGAATGCACGATACTTGTTTACACCTTTATCCATCTATACATCATACACAATTGTTTATAAAAAATATTTATATTTAATGTTTCTTTCTGCACATTCACCGGTGGGTATGCTAGAATAGAATACAAATCAAACGAAATCTAATAAGATTTCAAGTGTTAAATTCGTATTACTTTTACCACAAAATTTAAATATTTACTCATTACAAAAGCCCGATTTTCTCTGTAAGTCGTGTACGAGTTTCTTTGTGGGGCACAATAATGATTTCCCCGGTGTTTTGGCTTTGTCCGTTCTCTTTATAATGAACACCTGATGTATTTCAACAATCATTAGTTTTCGTAGATGCACAATGAGAAATATTTAATGAATATGCAAAATATATCAATGTACATAAGTCTGCTTAAGCACTGTTATCAGATATAAGTAGCACCCGTACACTTCTCTACCTATATTAAAAGTGTGTATTTTTTGTTGGTAACATTTAAGTACATTTATGTCAATTTAATTATTGTTCAGGTAGACTTTTCGTTCAGTGCTTTACTCTTTGGAATGGTTTATAGATTGTTAAACTTATTCAAGTTATTTTTAAAGGTTGTTTGAAAAAATGAATCAAATATAAAAATGGCCTCAGCACAACCCAACAAGACTAATATTTTAATTATTTAGACAGATTTATAAAAATTATAAATCTTAAATTTTGTTTAACTTAGTGTATTATTAGCATAGCTGATTGAGAGATGGTAAACTGGTTTAGTTTGAATGAATTAAAGCATGGTTTGTGTAGAAGAAGGTTTACAGTACTGCTTAATTTGTCAATAAGATTAATAACACAAAATATAACTGTAAGTAATATGTTGAAGCAGAAATTCAAGAGAGAGAGAGAGAGAGAGAGGTTATATCATTTTAATTCCAATACTAAATGCTGTAACATTTCCTGAATTGACTTAAGCTGCATTTTTAGTGAATATTACTTTCAAACTCCATCATGGAAAGGATCATATTACATTTTATATTCAAACAAGGCTTGACGGCCATTATGATAATTTGTTTGTTGTTGGACGCTATGACACGCGTATCCTTACTTTGAAATTCAAGCAACGTTTAAAAAGAAATTATAGTTATGATAAATTTTAAAAATATTGCACACCCTTAGTTAGATACTAGAGCTTAATGTGTATACTGTAGTACTTGCATGGGCCAAGTTATCAATTTGGTTAATTATTGTCATCAACTAATTGATAAGCTAAGTGCCCTTTGAAGTAATAAATTAAATTGTCAACTAGTCTAGGTGGAAATAAAACTTATAAGTTGTAATAATGTAATAAGTTGCAAAAACTTGTAAGTTGAATAAAGTGATATTCAATATGTTATTCAATATCACACAATATATCAAAAACTACACGTATCATCCATTACAAAACTAATTGAAGTCTGGACGCAACTGGTAGTATTTTTAACACAAATATAAGTGAAAGATGAGAATGTAATGGAAAGAGATGCCTTGTGAACCTTTGTTAGTGATTTACAAAAGATTATACTTCATGATCAAGTACAGCTAGATCCAGTTCCACGCAAATTAAAATATACTTATTTTTTCTGATACAGGAATAAACCTACTTAAGATAGCACTAATTTACAAATTTTGTAAAAAATAGTTTAAAATTGAAGCTATGTAAATATTAAGGAATTTAAGTTAAGTTTTAATATAACAAGAGGTCGTCCAGTGGTCGAAAACTCAACTAAAAATATATAATGTACAGACTTCTCTATTTTCGCCCCTCACTGTAAATAAAACATGTGATTGTAATTTCTTCATATTTTTATTTTATGTTTACATTTCGTTGCTATTTTGTCACCAGCATAGCTGCCTCCCATAAGAACAATGTTTTTTTTTCATTTCATTTTTTCTTTAGCCTATTTTAATTTATAAAGGGATTCTGCACATTTATAGTAAAATATCTTTCTAACAGTATGCGTAGATTTTCCCAGTGATGCACACGAGCTGAGAAAAAGGTTTTCAAGAAACATGCTTGTCTATTAATATTTAGATTCTTAATAAAAATAGGTTTTTCTTAGAGCCTTACCTTTTATTATGAATGCATCCTGAACCCAACGAACCCATCAAAAATACACCCAACGAAAATAAACTTGGTTGTACTGTACATATAAATCACTTAAGGTTTCCATAAAGGACTTGGCTAGGAAAATGTTAATAAAGAATGAAGGTGGTGAAATATTAACATCTATGATTTAACAAAATTGAATTCTTAATAAGGGTTGACTTCAAAGTTTTTCCCGTGTTTGGATCTTAATCACTTTCTTTTATGAAATCTTTGTTATGGGTATGATTTTAGTTTGTTTTATGTATTTTTAATTCTTTTTTACTTCCTAATTTTATCCAACATGGTTAATAGGTATACATTATCATCTACTTTAGAGCTTGGCTGTACCATGATAAGTTAGTGGACTATGAAATTTGGACTACACTTTCAATGGAAGCTATGTTGTTTATAACTTATAATATTTAATTATATCATTGAATAATTAATACAAGTTTTGTAAATCAGGCTTAGTAAGGATGGAAAAATAAAAAAATACGCGATGTAATCTCTTGCCTGATTCAGTCTCATTCTTAAAACAATAATAAATAGTTTCGCTGATAAGTTTTGATGAAATAATTTAATTAGATTCGACAAGTGCCGATTGAACATTTTGTAAATTTTACACACTAAAGTGCTACGGAGCGTTTTGAGGTTAAACTCAACTCTCTCAATTTAACAGCGGTAGATCACTTTAACAACCTCCGACATAAGGTTCTTGCATTCCCTCTAAATGTGTGCTTCAATCGTGATGCAACATCTAAACTGGTAGGCCCAAATATAGAAGACTGTCTTTTCAAATTATTCGCTTGCCTTTTTGTCATCTTATACAATATAGTCCTTATAATTTAAAAAAATCACCTATTTTTAATTAAGGTTATTTTCATAACACACTTGGTAAATGGGAAGTGTTGAAATTAAAAAAATATCAGTTCTTCTGATTAAAAGAACACATTAGCAAACTAAAACATGCCAATAACTGACTGGGAATATGGTTTTTTATGGGGGAAGTTTTGTCTTCCTAATAATTAGGATATTTCACACATTAATACA